TCATAGGAGCCTACACAACACAAAACACTCTTGCTGTATGTAGGTTTTATTTTATTTGTTTTTTATCTTATATTTTGGAAATGTACATCCAGGTTTTTTTCCTCTAATTTTTTTGGGGCCCCCCAAAAGAGTGGGGCCCTAATCTATAGCTTGTTTAGCTTATACATAAATCCAGCACTGCTTATTTTATTTTTAAAAAACCAAAATAGTCAGGTTTAGCTTTTAGGCATGGTTTCCTTCTGTCAGTCTCTTGTATTCTTCACCTGCCCACAAAAATCCATACTCTGCTTCACGCTGGTAGCAAGAGGGGATATTTCCATATCTCCAGTGCCTTCAGAAAACAAAACAACAAAATCTCATGATTGCGGGAATGGGTGGGTTCAAGGGCGTAGGAAGGGGGGGCGGTGGGGGCAATCCACCCCAGGTGTCATCCCTGAGGGGGGTGACAAAATCCCCCTGGGTGTCAATCACCCCGCCCCCCCGGCAGCTCACCCCGCCCCCGGGTTCATGGCTAACTCTGCCAATGGAAGTTACTGGAAGCAGGATTAAAAGAAGGCTTTTTTTCCAGCTGGAACTCACCAGAACTCAGTCCCAGCATCTCTCAGGTGGGCACCATTGCCCTTTGAGAAGAACATTCAGGGTGAATTCCGACATCTCTTTGTCTAGAAAAATAGCACTGAAAAGTGTGTACAGTTGCATGATTTAAGCCCTATTTGCACCATGCCACTTTAATCAGTCATGGTTTCCCCCCAAAATCCTGGGAGTTGTAATTTGTGAAGGGTGCTGAGCATTGTTAGGAGACCTCTGTGTGTCTCTCAGAGCTCCAGTTCTCAGAGTGGTTTAACAATTGATCCCTCTTCCCTAGGGAACTTTGGGAATTGCAGTTCCGTGAAGGGAATAGAGATTCTCCTAACAACTCTCAGCACCCTTAACAAACTAAAGCTCCCAGGATTCCTTTGCAGGGGGGTGGGCGGGGCGGAGCTGTGCCTGTGGCATCACAGCACTTTAAATGTATGGGGCAGTTGGGACCTGTTTGCCCCTCATTGACTTTGAGCCTGAACCACATCTAGCCTGTTATTTATCTCAATTGGGATTGAAGCAGGTTTGGGGAGAAATTCATCAGAATCCAGTGTTTCATAAGAACTGACAGGATAGATAAGGATTGAGACTAATGTGTGTACACCAGTGGTGGGAACATGAGTGTGGCCAAGATTTTTGTTGGGGGAGGGGGCAGAACCGATGTGATTGGTCAGTTAGTTAAGCATTTATATTGTTTTACTTGATCTAGGGTGGTAGTACTCGTACCAATGAAGCTTCATGTGATGGGAAAGGAGATTCCGACTAAACCTCAGGAAGAACTTTCTGACAATAAGAGCTGTTGGACAAAGATTTTAGAGTTGGAAGGAACCTTAAAGGTCAACAAGACTCCATGCAGGAATCTTTTCAGTGTAGCATCCCTGGCCACATCCACACCATACATCTAAAAGCACATTTAACAGTGATGCCCGTTGTTTAAAGAATCCTGGGAACTGTAGCTTCCCCACCACAGAGCAACAATTCCCAGCACCCTTAGCAAGCTACAGTTTCTGGATTCTTTAAAGGTGTGGTGTTTTTGGTCTGGTGTGGAGATGCCCCAAAAGGTAAAGGTGAAGGTACCCTTGACCGTGCCCCTAGCCTCTATTTAAACACACCCAGCAAAGGAGAGCCTTTCCAAAATGGCCCGTTCCATTGGGAAACAGCTTTGTTAGGAAGAATCTCCTAATGTTTAGCCAAAATCTTATTTCTTACTATTCCCACCCATTGGTTCTGGTTCTGCCCTCTGGAAGAACAAGCACAAGTCTGCTCCATCTTCTCTGGTGGCCTTTTGGCTCTTTGAAGGCAGCCATCATATTTTCCTTTAGCTTGTCTTCTCCAGGCCAAAACATGACCAGCTCCTTCATCTCTTCTTCATAGGACCTTTTTGCCTAAGGAAGCCTTACCCACAGCCCATGTCTGAAGCACAATTAAAGCATATGACTTCCCCAAAGAATCCTGGCAGCTGCAGCTTGTTATGGATGCTGGGAATCATAGCTCTGTGAGGGGCGAACTACAATTCCCAGGATTATTGGGGAAAAGCCGTGTACTTTAAATGGAGAGTATGGATGCAACCCTCAATCACATGACACAGCACCCTAGTCAGAGTTTTGTGGGGCAGCTTGTTCCTGTGTTACCCACTCAAGAAAACCCAGAAATTTTGTGATAAACCATATCCATAACTGGGTAGGGAACCACTGTAGGACAGCCAAAATATAACTGCAGCCTAATATAGATGCAAAGCTATGCCATTGCATTAAATGGTTAATAAAACATAATGAAATTTGGCTCATAGGTGGGACACTTAAAAGCACGAGGAAGCTGTGCACTAAGCTATAGGTAGAATGTTATAGTGCCACAAAAAGTGAAAGGACTAGAAAGCTGATTTTTTAAAAATGAAACTGGAATATTCAAGGATGGGCCTGGAATCTTCAAGAAGAAACCAGGTCTCATCCAACAGAGTCCTAGAACAAAACGCATCACAGTTCCCTCCCTCCTCCTGGAATGTTAATTGGCAGGAGGGGAAACCCAAGAGCACAGTGGGGTCATGTGCCATATGCTATGTTTGTTTCAGAACACGTGACTGGAGCAGAGAGGAGCAGATGGTGCTTCAGCAGCTGCTTATGATTCTTAGCTTCACCCCCAAGAGGGCTGTTGAAGTGAAGGCACAGCCACACCATACATCTGAAGCACTCTTATGCGACTTTAACTGCCAGGCTTCCCTCCCATTCCCACTAAAGAATCCTGGGGACTGTAGCTTGTGAAGGGCAGAGAGTTGCTAGGAAGTACAGTTCCTAGTACCCTGAACAAGCAAGAAACAATAGCTGTTTCAGAAGTGGTATCTCTGAGTACTTTAAATGCATTTTGTGGATGGGACCTAAGTGTGCATGGGCATTTCTGTAGACGTGCCCCACTTGAGGGAAAGTTGTGCCTGATTAAATCACTGAGAATAGGGCTAGCGCAAGTGATGTCCCTTGCATTCCACACACTGGTCAACTGGACTAGCAACTACTGGTAAATCTTAACACTGGGAGCTTGTCTAGCACTTTAGCAGTCATGCAGAATCCTGGGAGCTGTACTTTGTTAAAGGTGCTAGGAACTGAAAGTTTGTGAGGTCAGTACCCTTACAAACTACAGTTCCCGGGATTCTTTGGGGGAAGCCATGACTGCTTAAGCACTATAGGAGTGCTTTAAATGTATGGTGTGGATATGACTTGGGAAAACACCCATGTCCTCTGGCATAACTGAGGCTTAGGGGCATGCCTGGCAAGCCTTATGGCACAGACTGCTCTGTCCTCCAACTCCTCGCTGCCACATCCTGCCTTCTATGATCTGCCACCTGAGTCAGGACTAACTCAGTCTGCCTTACGGTAGGCTTGGCTCCAGCTCAGAAGCTCAAGGCAGGGAGAAACAGGAAAGAAAGGGTGGCTGCCTGCCTTTCCTAGCAACCTGGTTTTCAAAACCATGTGGACTCTTGTCCCATGAAAGCTGATGCAATTGTAAATTTTTGCAACCATTAAGGAGACGGCAAGAGTGTGTTTATTTATGGAAGCGATGAAAAGCGGCAGCCGTCTGAATATGACCCTTGGATGAATGGAAAAACCCACACAGGACTACAATTGGTTTCAACTCGCTTGTGGAGACTATCAGAGGTCACAAAGAAAAAGGAAAAATATGTGAAGCAGCAGCAACAAGATGATTGGATCCCTTTCAGAACTTGAAATATGGGTACCCCAACAAAAAATTTAAAATTTGGCTTTGTAATTTGGAATTAATGTGATTTGATTGGTCTGTTAATAAAAATTATTTTTTAAAAAAACACCATTAAGGTGTCACCAAACTTTTCCCTGTGCTGTTGTTGCTGCTTTGTCTCTTAAACTACAGCGGAGTAGGGGGAGAAAGTCACTTTTGGATATTGATTGTCTTGTCCCATGGTTGTTCCCTGTTGTTGTTTTTAATCACATGTATTTGGGGCGACAGCATAATCCCACCCCTGCCTCTAGGGCTGCCAGGCCAGGATATCTCAGTGGCTAAACCTGAGACCTAGGGATGGCCCTGGTGATGTCACAAGTGCAGCCCAGTGCTCCCTCACACCACTGATCCCTGGAGATGGAGGTTGTACATTGACAATAAAGGTATTATTATTTTTAATTTGGAGAGGCGAGGAGGGATGAGAGGGGAGCGGACACCCCCGGAGAGTCTGCAAAAATGTCCCACCAGTTTCTGCTGGGTTGAAGCTTGCAAGCTGTACACAAAGTCTTCTTAATAAATAACATTTTTTTCAAAAAGCACTCTCATCCCAATTATTCTGTGACACCTTCACGCTCTGAAAAAACAGGATTCTGAAATCTGCATAAATTAGATAAATGTGTATGCTTTCTCTTGTTTTGCATAATTTATCTGGCAGCACTTAGTATTCTGCATAATTTATTTGAGCTTCTGTTAGTCACGAGGAGGAGCTATGTGAGCACACTGAAGCTCCACTCATGAATCCTTGGAAACCGCAGTTGGTTCCTCTTTTAGGTTCTAAGATTTCCATATGCTTTCAAGCACATTGTTGCATTGATAAGAACTTTAAAACTGCTTTTAAAAAACAACAGAGGAAAGCTTTGATTGTCAAGAGGAGAATCTGCAATTTTCTATTCTCCCTTGAAAAATGTACAGCCTTGTTAGGGTCTCACTTATTTCATTCCAGGAGGCTTCCCTGCCATTGAGCCAACATCTTTGAGGAAAACCAGGTCTGGAGAATCAGGAAAGAATTTGACCTGTGCAGGAAGGGCTTCCTTGAATCTCAGGGACTGTGTCATATATAAATCAGGCAACAGGAGGAGGCAGAGGAGGAGAAAGAGGTGAGATAATCTTTAGGAAACCATGCAGCCCATGGCGCTCCACCTCAAGACAGGCTATTTTGTCCCTCGCTCTAGTCCTCAGACCCAGTACTGACTGTTTTTTAAGGCTGTGTTGGGTGTCCTACAATATTGGAGCAGTTCTGGATCCTGCTGGCCTCCTGGCCCTATCCCCTTTGAGTTGGGTCCTGCTCCTTTGGCCTCCAGTGTGTTGACTGTTGTCAAAGGGATGCCTTGGTTGGGGTCAGTCTTCCGGAAAGTCTCCTGGTCAACCAATGTACCATTTTTGTATTTGGGGGGTGTGCCTTGGACATTGTGCTTACCAGTCTTGTTCCGTTTGTGGAGGTAGAACAGTAAGGGCAGGATTAAAGCAAGAAGCAGAAGGATGAGGCAGATGGGGAGAATGATGCTGAACATATTGGCTTCAATGAAACTAAGTAGTGTGCTTCTTTCCGTAGGAAATGCACTAGTAACTGTTATGTGCCCAGCCCATGCTGTTGGACGAACATGTGTCTCACTGGAGTTATACTCAGTGTTTTCTGGCTGTGGGCGCCTAGTTGTCAACATCTGCAGAGAAGGGGTTATGCTTTGGGTTGTGGGGTTTTGGCCCCCTTCTTGGAAATCAGGCACTTTGAGCAGTTTCGCTCCATAGGCTGTTGAGGAATTGAAGGCCTCAGTGATGTATGCCATTGATTCCACAGCAGGGGGCACCCCATCAGCCACCAACTCAAACAGAAAGCTGTCCTGCTGGAGGTTTTCCTGAGAGTCTTCTCTTTCCCATATCTCCACCCCAACTAGCCCTCCCTCAAGATCCTGCTGGGTGAAGGCATCAGTGGAGACGGGCGGGTTCCTTTTGTCTCTCGAGAGTTTCACAAAATGGCTCCCTTGGGGTGCTCGGAGGATTTTGAAGGCTGGGATGCTCTTGGTCCTGCTGCCCAGTTCACTTGCGTCAAGGATGTCGGTGTTGAGCTGGACGGTGGCTCCTCTTGGCCAAAGGATATCCTGTTGGGTTTTGACCAAGGCCTTGACCATTACATTCACAATGCCTGAAATGTTGACATCTCCTGCTGTGGCAAGGAACTGGAATTCATCTTTGGGGGAGATGAAGTCAGTGAAAGTAAATGTCACTTCTCCATTGTCCACTTGGCTCTGTGAAAAGTCCCTCACGGGCTTTTGGTTGACATTGACCTGACCAAACTGTGGGTCCCTGATGAGTCTATAGATGGTATTTTGCTGCTCTTGGCCTGAGGCCCCCAGAAGGTGCTTGCGAGACAGGAAGGCCATGTTGACACCCTGTGGTATCTCCAACGGGATTTGATTTGTTGCCCAGGTGGTTGCTGGAAGAACTATGATTTCCAAAGACGTTAAGATGGGTGGATTGTGTCCATCGGAGATAGCAAGGTGTAAGACTCCAGAAGAGTCCGTTCCATTGGCGATGAACCTCAAGTGCCCTGCGTTGATGTCTGCTTGAGTAAACTGGGTAATTGCCGCCTGCGTAGCATGGATATTGACTACAAAGCCACTGGATAACCCAGAAAGGATCCTGTACTTGATTTCTTCAGGAAAACTGTCAGGATCCATGGTGTTCAGTTGTTCCTGAGAAAGCATTGCAGGGGAACCCTGGAGGACCTGCAGAACCTGGCCTTGGGTGAGCAACACGGGTGGCATTTCATTTCTGTCACTCACTGTGATGTTGAACATCCCAGAAATGACAGGCTCCTCCCCTTCTTGTGGGGGCTGAATAGATCTCTCTGTGCTGGGCCGGAGCCAGGCTTTAAAGCTGAAATGATCACCCAGGGTGCTGGGTCCATGGTGGGCATATTCCAAGTCACCTGCAGCAAGATCAGACTGGAGGAAGTAGGGATGCTTTTTATCAACTGGTCCATCGGCAACGGACAGGGTCCCATGGCTGGGTAGCTCCGTCACCAGAAATATCACATCATACAATGCTCTTCTGGAGACAGGTTCTTTAGCAAGAAGGTTAGAAGCATCTAGTAATGAGATGTTGACCACTGCACTTTGAGCTTCTGAAACAGTGAGGCCTGGGAGACAGTGGAAGAAAAAAGAAAAAAAAGAAAAAAGCATGATTACAGAAAGGTTGCAGCTCATCTGGAAAGTAAAATCAAGTGAGCAATAAGAACATCAGAAGGGCTTACTGGATCAGGCCAATGGCCCATCTAGTCCAGCATCCTGTTCTCACCATGTGGGCTTCTGTTCTCTGAGAATTCAAAGGATTTATTTCTAGCAAATGCCCCCTCATCTCCCCAGATTTTACTAGAACTTAGTCATCTTTATGCACAGGGACATCACAGCACATGCCTTTCCTAGGAAGGAGCAAACCTTTCCTTCACAACAGCTCTCTTTGCTGTGATATCTGCTTTGCAGGGGGTTGGACTAGATAGCCCTCTGGGTCCCTTCTAACTCTACAATTTGATGATTCTATGTGTGTTTTGGCATCTTGACTCTCCTTTTACCTTTGTTTCTCCACAGAGTGGAGCTGTGAGGACAGCTGATGTTGAAGGAGACCAACACACCAAGGACATACAGGTTTGAGATCATGGAGGGAGAAGAAATTCGGAAGTGGAAAGTGTCCTCAAGAATCCAGAAAGGTTCCTGTGGCATTTCATGCTGATATGATATTACCCCAGCATCCACCTGATTGGATATGTGTAAGAAGGAAACTGAGTTAGGCACTCTGTGAAAGCAAACCAATAATGTCTTTGTATTTATTTTGAAGAAGAACATACATTTTAATAACACACTGGGAAAAATGAAAACCTGAACCAAAACCAAAATAAAAATGCACACACACAAATAATGTATTTGGGTAGTTTCAGTCACACTCCCTGCAAAACATGATTATTATTATTATTATTGGTGTTGTGGGGTAATAACATTTTATAAAAATATTTGTTTTATTAATAAATATCATGTTATTGTCCTTGAGGTCTTTCTAACCTTCCCTTAAAGGTAGGAGGTTAGTAAGAATTTCAGATAATAGTATCTCTTACTGGAGTCTTTTAAGATATGAAATAATTTTTTGCCACTTAATTGAAAATGAATCTTTGTTTGTCCTCAAGTATACCTTGATTTTTGAGTTTTTTCCTGCAGTAGCTGTAGACCAGTCAACCCATACTGTCCATGTGGACAATGGCCAGACTCAGTTTACTCAGTAAACATTGCTTCCTGTGTTTCTATTCAAAATCAAGGTATGATACCATGAGGGACATCAAGAAAGAGGGACATCAAGAAAGACTTCTACCTCGTCTTGGGTGAAGTTGCTCAGCTGCCCTCTGTCCTCCCACTTCTGGCTGTTCACCAATTTGCCAAAGCCTGGAGGCTGTTCTATGATGTAAGAGAGCGACTGGGCTTCTGCCTCATCATTGGTCACTGCTTTCAGGTTCTGGCTCCTGATTGGCTGAAGAGAGCCTGGGAAAGAAATGGTTAGGAGGAGCTGAGCATCTGAAGGTGGTGTAGTAAAAGCTTCACCCACAGTTTCACTCCTAAAGAAACAAGAAAATTGTTCCCCCAAAGTTTTGAGGGGTTGTGTGATATTCTTTAGCATTGCTGGAGGTGGGACTCGAGGATCATTGGGGTCCGTTCCAACTGTACAATTCTATGATTCTGTGTAAATTATGGAAATTTTACAGAAAAATTTGTGCACATTAAAATGCTGGTAAATTCTCACAATGACTTTTAAAAAATGCAGTCTGAAGTGGGGAAGTGGAAAGGTGAGCCTAAGTTTAGAAAAAAATGAGAAACTGAGAGACACACAAATCAACAGATTAGCTCTATCCATGCTCCCATGTAGTTGCCTTGCAGATAACTTACCCGGACACACGATCAGATCTCTCTTGCTCTCCAGAGTGATAACTAGTTTCCTTTTGGCCCTCACAGCAAAGAAGTGCCCGGGAGACATGTTCTCGCCATCAGACAAGTCAAAGGAAAAGCCTCCATCCAGGGACCCTGTAGAATGAAGCCCAGGATGTCAGGGTCTGGGAGAAGACATTCCTGCACTTACTTACCTACTTGGTGGTGGAGAGCTGCAGCACATACTTTGCCTTCAGAAAGTCTCAGGTTTAGTCCCTGGCATCACCAGATAGTGGAGGGGAAGACTCCTCTCTATAGGCCCAGAGAGCAAGTGCTTGTCAGTGTTGATAGTCCTGAGCTAAGATGGACCAATGGTCTGATGAGAGCTTCCAATGTCCCCATGCCCCAATTTCCCCATCCACCCAGCTTGCTTTACCTCCTTCTGCTGCATACCTTCATGGATGAACTGAACAAGCTGGCTGTTGATCTGGGCCTGTGTGAACCGTTGGACCGAGGTGGTAGGCGATGGCTTCAACACAACCTTTCCATTGATAGGTGTCCTGATGGAATAAATGACTTCCTCTGGAGGGCTGTCTTCATCTTCACTGCTGAGGTGTTCAGGAGTTATCTCTGCTGTGCCACCCTCTTGCATCTGGCAGGAAGAGTCCAGAAATCAATGGAATGGATTGCCAAAGAGCCATTCTCCTCATTGTTGAGAACCTGTTCCGCATTCCACCACCACTAGAGGGGTTGTCATAAGAACATGAGAACCTTCTGGATCAGGCCAAAAGCTCAGCTAGTCCAACATCCTGTTCTCACAGTGGCCAACCAGATGCCTATGGGAAACCTGCAAGTAGGACCCGAGCACAAGAGCTCTCTCCCCACTTGTGGTTTCCAGCAACTGGCATTCACATACAGTGGTACCTCGGGTTAAGTACTTAATTCGTTCTGAAGTCCGTTCTTAACCTGAAACTGTTCTTAACCTGAAGCACCACTTTAGCTAATGGGGCCTCCTGCTGCCGTCGCACCACCACTGCACGATTTCTGTTCTCACCCTGAAGCAAAGTTCTTAACCCGAGGTACTATTTCTGGGTTAGCGGAGTCTGTAACCTGAAATGTCTGTAACCCGAGGTACCACTGTACCCCGCAAGTGTCCTGAAAAACGGGAACATGAATTTGCTGGCCTATTTAGGCCCATTGACCCATTTGGATTTTCAAGCAAGTGACGTGGAGGGCATCCCCTCCGGTCACTTTTTTCCAGCCTCTGCAAGATCTGCTACCCCAGCTGCCCTGAGATACAGAAAGAGAAAACACACAGATTACTTTTCCAAAAGACTGGGGTAAAACATTGAGTATAATTAATGCCTGGATGACATCCGTGAGTCAGATCCTCCAGGGAAGCCATGGAACCATTGTCATCCTAAGGGTCTCACTCCCACAGACGAGGGAAGAGCATCCCGCTTCACTGCTTGAGGTGAAACGGAAAGTGCCGCTTTGTGCTCTGCCCCATCTACCGCTGACTTGGGGAAATCAGCTTGCAGAAATCAGGTGAGAATTTGCCCCAAACAGATGCAGCATTTCTCCAAATTGACACTGATGGCAGAGGCAGTGGGGCGGTAGGAGGCAACTGTGGGTGTGCTGCTGGAGGGGACCTCTAATGCCTGAAGCAGTGGTCTCCTCCTACCAAATGTCTGGGCCAGCGGTGGGCAGGGCATGAGGCAAAAGTGAGCAGGCAAAAGATGTAGCACTAGCTTTGTGCATTTGGGTGCATTCTGGCCCCACAAAAGTCAGAGGTTTCAAGGACACAGGAGGGGAGAGGGCTGCTCTTGTGCTTGTGAGATTCCCATGGGGGCATCTGGTGAGAACAGGATGCCAGGCTAGATGGGCCATTGGCCCATAGTGCTTGAAGAGGGAGCACCAAAAAGCCAGCAAGGGAATTGAAGAATCCCAAGGGCTAGGCTGAGAGGCCTGGAAGGCCACAATTGGCCCCAGGCCCGAGGCTCCCCACCTCTACTCTTGGGCTTGCACTGAAGTAGCTTCTAGTCCTGTACTTGGACGTGGGGCTCACAGGCCACTTTGATCCCATTGTGCCTCTCTCTCAACAACAAAGCAGTGTTGCCTAGTGGCTATAGTGTTGGATTTGGACTGAGGAGATCTAGGTTCACAGTCCTGTTCAGCCAGAAAGCTCACTAGGTGATGCTGGGCCATTCTCCATATCTTAGCTCAATCTAACTCACAGGGTTGGTTTGAAGTTAAGCTAGGCAAGTGAGGAATAAGAGCATTGCCTTGGACTCATTAGAGCAAGCATAGACAGTCCTTTCCCTTTCCCCCTGAGAGCCACATGCAGTGTGGTTGGGGGCTTCAAGGCACTGGGGGTAGTTGGTGGTGGTAGGGACCTGAGGTGAAGGCCAACAACAGAGTCACTCTCTCTCTCTCTCTCACTCTCTCTCTCTCTCTCTCCCTCTCTCTCTCTCACACACACACACATTTGAACAAAAACACATGTGTACTAGGCCACCTGTATGGGTTGCACTGCTGAGGATCATGCCTGTTGTAGCAATTTCAAAGTGCTGTGCTAGATGCTGCATGGTATTTTTAATTATATTTTTATTGATTCTTTTGTTTCTTATATTTTATTGCATTACAATTTGCATTTCATGCAATTCAATTTTTCATGAAATAAAATGCAACATAAGAAGCAATAAGAATAAAAATGGAGATCCATATGACTGTTCCAGCCGATGTGCCGTGGGCCACCGGAATGAAGTGCTGTGCACAACTGGTGGCCCACAGGCTGCAGTTTGGGATCCACTGCCTTAGCTGAGTAAGAACAAGGATGAAAATGTAATAAAATGTTGCCACTGAGAAAAAAAGAACAAGGAATTCCCACATGTGTCACCCCAAACACATTTCTTTTTCCTGATGTTAAGAAAGAATCTCAGCCACAGAATGAATCTTGAATGGCTACAGGACCTTGAACACATTAAATAATAAAAACAAATAAACCCTGACCCTAAAATGCTCCTGATTAGCATCTGTTAAACAATGAGATCATCTGCTATGAGAACATCAGTTTGGTCTGTCACTTTGGATTTGTTATTTCTTCATAATACTTCCACCTCCCCGCATGGTTCTGTTTCCACAGCCTCCCTCCACATGACAGGCCCACCTGGGATTCTGCCTTTGTGCCCCCCCTCGCCCAGAGACACAATCCTGCCCGATCTTTCTGCTGGCCTCAACTGACTTGTCCCACAACACTCAGCCTGTGAGTGCCCTCCGGAGAAAAAGCCTAGGGACTCTTTTTCTTCCAATTGTGGAGACGGTTTTTTATTTTTGGAATCTGCTTGGAGCTGAGCACCCTGGAGAGAGTTTTTCTGTATGAACAAACTCCACTCAGTCCTGCTGTAATGCTCGCTAATGCACAGAACTGTGGCACATCTCTCTCTCGCATTCCTGCAGCCTTTATCCTTTCGCTGGGGGTAGTATCTAAATGTGTGCTGTTGCAGGAATTTATGTATAGGTTGGGGGGGGTCCCCCTCCAGCAGATATCATGCACATGCAGCCCACTACCAAAACTAGCACAATCACTTTTGTGACTTTTGTGATTTGTCCCCACAAAACACTTCATCACATTTTCTTCCTATCTATTCAAAGGGCCTTTGCTGCACAATACCAAATATAAGAATTCACTGATTAATGTATCTATGTACTGGGATGCGGGTGGCGCTGTGGGTTAGACCACAGAGCCTTGGACTTGCTGATCAGAAGGTCAGCAATTCAAATCCCCACGACGGGGTGAGCTCCTGTTGCTC